TTCCCTTCATATTTCGGTTTTCCATAGGAAATAATCTCCCATAGGATAACATTAGCCCATGTTAAGTCTATGGAAAAGCTCCATAGGATTAGCATTACCCATGTTAAAGTGTAGTCATAGACTTAAGCTGTAATCCCATGTTAAATCTCATAGAGCGGGGGGGGGCTGGGAGAGGGGTAGCCGAACGATCCTATAAACCACATAATTTATAGTTGAATTGTGGTAAAAAATATGAATGATTTTGTAAACATAACTTTAATAATGAATATTGCATTGCAGGCGACGAATCGGCCATATTGTTATCAATAGCGACGGCTTCGTACACATTGACCCGTCTTCTTGGCATTTATATTGCAATGCGTGTCAAACCGGAACACCTCTTATCACTTCATTATGTGATCGTATTTTGCAGTCTTATTATTCTCTGGTTTTCAGACGTCAGTGTTATAGTTATGTGGATCGGAAACATCCTATTCGGTCAGTCATGAGAACATTCAATATAACACATTCATTCTTTACATGTCATATTCTCATCAATTATAAGAATTTAATCAAAATGTTTCCAAACCATGTTCTAAATGTAATTACATATCCGGATACAGTGCAACTTCTCTTAGGCAACATTTTTCATAAGAAATACCTCCCCATTGGGAACGGATTTCTAGAAATTAAGCACTCTCTATACGAAACGCAAAAATACAATCTATATTCTGACTTATTTTAAGACAAACTGAAACAAACATTAAATTAACGGTTTCAGTTTGTTTTATAGTTAGCATAAAAACCTTTTAATGACAAATTAACAAATCTAATAATGATGTTATCGTTTTTATACAAACTTTCATTAAAGAAATCCTCTATAAAAACACTTTTGTTGCAAAACTGGCCGTACCTTATAAATAAGTTGCACTGTATATAATAATCGCGGTAGGTTTTTGATTATTTAGAGTATCTGAAATTCACTTATTAAATGCAATTACAGTACTGTACAGTATATGCGGTTTATAGATATGAAATATAAATCAAATTTTAAACAAAAAAGTGGGATATTGGTGGAAATTATAGTAAAAGTTATGGGTTAACCGCAACTTCCAGATCCGATGCAACAAAATAGAAATGATAGCATTTTTATATATTCATGTTATAACATACAGTATATGATTGTATAGAATTTAAATTGACCATAAAGTATAATTAGTATGAAAAGACTTAATATTACCCAACATAGAATAAAATGACACCAAGATTGATGACATAGAAATATAACAAGAGTATTAGATATAAGATTAAAATTAACTTTGATTACTTGATTACTTGTTAGGCATAGGAATAGCGACATTCTGGTCGGCGACCTTCTCCTACATCGAGACATATATCGAGATAACGGACAGAATCGGCACAATCTATGTCTCTCTATTGGGATTATTAGAGGTCGTCAATCAGTTCATTGAGGGACCCTTTCTTGAAGACAATCCCGAAGTTTTAATCTATTATTTGGGCGGCGCTACAGCCCTAAGTGCGACCGCCTTTCTACTCATTAGATTCGTTGTATTTTACACTCATCTCAAACCCAATGACGATTCTACAAGTGATGAACATTCTCTACAACATACAAGTCTTAACAATACTATCGAACATCCATTTAATACACAGCAAATTAAATGTCCAGTCAATTAAATATTATTAAATTATATAAAGTTTATACATAATGTATTGTATATTGCTTTACATATGTTATATTGTAATAAATATTCATATCAATATATGATTACTATAATAACAGATATTTTATAAATGTATGCAAAAAACTATATGTTGCATAAAACAATTATAATTTGATAGTAATCATATCATATAATTAAAAAACTGTGCATAATTAAATATTAATGAAGATATTCCCTTTTATACAGTACTATTAATTAAATAATAATAAAATAATATAGTATTACTTATAAATGATAAGTTGTATAACATAGGCTGTTGGCGAGTGAAGTGATAAATTAGTAGACAATAGTAGACATAGTATACAATGTCTACATCTATTGGTAGCGCTTGAGATGAGCCAAACCATGGATTCATTGTTATTGTTGTGATTGTTGTGATGTTTAGTTATAACGAGTTGTTTTGTTACATGATATATGTGTTGATTGTGTTGATTGTGTGCTAACTGTTGCCGATTGCATGTGTTTGGCAGTGCGTGGAGTGCTATAAGAGGTGGAGTGCTATAAGAGGTGGAGAGTGTGAGAGTGTGGTAGCGGTGATGGTGTGATCGCACTGACGATAGGGTGGGCACAAGTGATGGTGTGATGGGCTGTTGTTTGCCCCGAATCGGCGCTCCGGCGGCCAAAACGGACGGATCGGACAGTGAGTCGAGTATTGGAGAGCAAAGCCGACGCTCCAAACGGATTGACCAGATGTTGGCGAAGGAGAAACGGCTGATCCGTAAAGAGGTTAAGCTGTTGTTATTGGGCGCCGGAGAGTCTGGAAAGTCGACTTTTGTCAAACAAATGAAGATTATTCACAGCCAAAGACACTCTCTTATCGATGACATGAGTGACACCAATGCTGTCCAGGAATACAAAGACATTATCTATAAGAATATCATTAAAGGGATGCAAGTGTTGATCGACGCCCGCATCAAACTCGACATCCCTAAAGACACTCTCTTATCGATGACATGAGTGACACCAATGCTGTCCAGGAATACAAAGACATTATCTATAAGAATATCATTAAAGGGATGCAAGTGTTGATCGACGCCCGCATCAAACTCGACATCCCGTGGGGTCGACCCGACAGTGAGATTCACGCCCAACACGTGTTTGCCTGCGATAATAGACAAACAATTAGTCAACACGTGTTCACACAATATGTGCGGCCCATTGGCCTCCTCTGGACCGATGAGGGCATCAGACATGCCTTTGAGCGCAGGATTGAGTTTCAATTGGTAAGTGATTTGTAGTAATAGTCGTAATACTCATGTGATTACTGTCTCTATCACTGTCTACAGAGCGATGGCGTCCGATATCTGTTTGATAACATCGACAGAATCGGTGGCGAAGACTATTTACCCACAAATCAAGACATACTGTATTCTCGAAAGGCGACCAAAGGTGTGACCGAATACAGTGTCACCATAAATAAGATTCCGTTCCGTTTCGTAGACGTCGGCGGACAGCGATCGCAACGCCAGAAGTGGTTTCAGTGCTTTGAATGCGTGACGAGTATACTGTTTATAGTGTCGTCTTCAGAGTACGATCAGGTGCTGCTCGAAGACCGCCACAAGAATCGGCTCCGGGAGTCACAGAACATCTTTGACACGATTGTCAACAACCGGTGCTTTCAAGAAGTGTCTTA